TTTTTTTTTTTTTTTTTTTTTTTCATTTTTCTTACTTTTTTGTCAACTAAAAATCTTAAATTCTTTACGATTTTTTACAAAGGATTTTCATAAGCTTTTCAAATTAATTTCTACTGGTGAAAATAAAATATTATTGGCATTGTCAGCTTTGACATGCCACTATCATTTTGAGAAGATCTTCCGCTTGGATGTGGAAAAAGCTAATAAACTTCATTTCGCGTGTTGGTCTACAGACAATAAACCTGCAAAAAGTACAAGCTAATAAGTAGTAAATTGCACTATTAAACAATACAAAACAAAGGGGTTTTAAATATTTATTATTATTTCGTTAGTATATCCTTGTGTATAGGTTTATTGTCTGCACTCCAGGACACGCGGGAGACACGTAGTAAACGATAACAAAAGACTAATCGCAATGATTTCTGGGTAAGGAGACTTCGGATGTTTGCCGTCTCGCGTCAGCATTAAGAATATGACCAAACTTGTACTGAAAATTCAGGTTCATCTTAACCACAGTTTTAGGTAATTTTTGAACGGTTTCGAGTCGAGGAAGCCATCTTACATCCCACACAAAAAATCCTACGAAGGTGGTTTTAGACAAATATACAGTGCCCATGAAGTATATCTGAATATATATAATTGATGTAACTGAGGTCTGAAAACTGGCAAGTCTTTCCTCTGCAGTCTCTCTGTGTTGTGCAGTGCTCGAATAGAATGATTGTGTATGTACATATATCATTAATACAGAACTGAAATCTCGTATTTACGTATATCACCGGAAAGAACACTGGTGATGTTGCAGCAACTTCACTGACACATTCATTCGTGAACCACATATCTTTCTTATCTCGTTATTAAAATACACCTTCATTGACAAATATTTATGATTAGAAACTACAATGTATCCTGAAAGGGAAAGAATAATATAGATTTGACTCACATGCTCATCTAACTTTGACTTCACTGACGTTTCCTTCCTGCATCTGTAAACGTTTCCTTGTAGAACGTGTTCTTTTCTATAACGGCACGATCCCTGTTATTATATCTGCGGGATTATGCAAATGACGACCAGATGACTGGTAACATGCTAAAAAAGCGAAACAGCAACCTGCGACAAAAATAAGCACTTAAAAACATATGTCAGATTAATGAGATGACATTTCAGCGCTATCATAGCTCATAATACAGACTCTCTTGAAAAACAAATTGAACATAAACAGTTTTTAGAATTTGCGCTATGATTGGTTAAATTTTTGAGATATTGTGCCAAACATCTTATAACATATTATAAATGAATATTAATAAGGTCTGACAAAGGTCAATGTTTTGAAAAAGAGTGAATGAAATAATTAATGGATAAATGATAGACATTCGTTGATTTATGTTGTGCTTCCGGCTATAATTAAAAGCATTGATGATTGGTTAAATGTTTGAGCTCTTGGGCCATTATAACATTAAATAAATATTAATCAGGTCTGATAAAAGCCAATGTTCTTTGATTTACATTATACTTCCGGCAACAATTAAAAGCATTGTAGCTATGGTTTGATAAAACTTATGTCAGTATCAAAAAAAATTTGCAAAATTAAACCGCCAAAGCTCGATCACTAGGATTTTTTTTTTTAATTTAAATTGCATTATCGTAGGATCCTAGCCAAAGAATGTGATCAAAATCTATATAAACAGTATATAAATATATTTGCAACAAATAAATAATTAAAATT